TAAAAGCAATCATTAAAGCCTTATCATTCAATCAGATTATAACTCTACTAAGAGCTATCTGAAAAAATAATAAAAATAATTTTTAATCTCTTCAAGTAATGTCTCACAAATTAATGTATTATCATCTTTCCATCTCCTCTCAGAAATGTCTTCTCAACTTTAACACTTCCCTTCAATTTTAATACTATAGCTTGTCATTTTCTGTAAAAATACAAGAAAACATCTTTTCTTCCCATATCTTATCTATAAATGAATGTTAAAAGCCTCATTATTCAGTCCTGTGTTTAAAAAAAACATTAAAAGCTTTTAGAAAAAATAATATACATTTTAACCTTGATCAAATAAGCCAACTTTATAAACCTTCCTTTTACTTTTAAAAGTCATGATTATTCCTCCATTGATAAGCAAGGGCTGGATGTCTGATTTGTTCCTTCTACAATCCACTATAAGCTCCTTGGTCTTATTGGTGTTGAGGATCAAGTTATTGTCTCCACACGACAAAAGCAACCAGTCCACCTCATCTCAGTAGACAAACTCATCCCCCTGGAGATGAGTCCCACCACTGTTGTATCATCCACAAATTTAGTAATAGTATTACTCGTGTGAGTGGGAATGCAGTCATGCACATAAAGAGTATAGAGTAAGGGACTCAACATGCAACCCTGTGGTGTACCAGTGTTAAGAATAAGGGCTGAAGAGGTATGATTACCTAATCTGACCCTCTGTGAGCAGCCAGACAGGAAATCCATAATCCAAAGGCAGATTGAATAAGAAAGTCCAACGTCCAGAAGTTTAGACATTAGTCTATGTGGAAGAATTTTGTTAAATGCAGAGCTAAAATCTACAAAAAGCATCCTCACATAGCCCCCTTCCCCCGCTGTTCTAGATGAGTCAGAGTAGTGTGAAGAGTGATGGCTATAGCGTCCTTGATAGATCTATTTCTTCTGTATGCAAACTGGTGTTTATCAAATGTATGCGGAAGACCAGAAATGATGTGCCGGCAGACCAATTTTTCAAAGCACTTCATGATGATAGGAGTGAGTGCCACTGGTCTGTAATTATTGAGGTTATTGATAGGGAACTTCTTTGGCAGCGGAACAATGGTGGAAGCCTTCAAACAAGATGGAATAGTGGACTGGGATAAAGACCGATTGAAGATCCTGATAAAGATTCCAGCCAACTGATCAGCACAGTCTTTAAGCACTCGGCCAGAGATACCGTCAGTCTTTCTAGGGTCCACAGCCCTCAGAATGCTCCTCACCTCCTGTTCCTCAATGAGGTGGGGGCTACAATTGGCTGATGGTTGTATTTTATCTGTCTCTGATGTCTCCACTTCAAAGCGAGCAAAGAAATGATTCAGTTCCTCTGCCAATGAAGTATCCCCTTCAGCAGGGATGACATTGGTTGGTTGATGGTTGGTAATTTGTTGAATCCCTTGCCATACCTGCCTCCTGTTATTGTTATAAAAATTATCCTCAGTCTTCTTCTTATAATCAGTTTTGGCCTTCCGAATACCTTTCTTCAGATTAGCTCTGGCAACACTGTATCTTGCCCCATCATCGGACCAAAAGGCCTTGGTCCTGTAACGCAAGAGGCGCTGGACTTCCTTGGTCATCCAGGGTTTCTGATTGGGATAGATCCTAATACGTTTATCCACAGTGATAATATCTGTGCAGTGTTTGATATAGCACAGAACAGTTGCAATGTGCTCCTCTAGGTCAGGGTGGTAAAAGATTTGTGCTCTCAAAACAATCCTGAAGTTGTTGGGAAGTATCTTCTGGCCAAGATTTCACTGTCTTTATTAAAGGCAGAGCCTGACTCCTAAGAGGGATGTATGCCGGTGCTAAATGCAGTGACATATGGTCTGATTGTCCCAAATGTGGTAATTGTATAACCTTATAGCCATGTTTGATGTTGGTATATACTTTGTCCAATATGATTGCTCCTCTAGTAGCATGCTTAACATGCTGATAGAATTTAGGGAGCACTGCTTTTAAATCAACTTGATTAAAGTCCCCCGCTATAATATGCACAGCATCAGGATACTTATTCTGTGGATTACTAACAGTGTTATACAAGAATCCCAAAGCTATGGTAGTATTGGCACCAGGTGGGATATAGACTGCAGTAATCAAAATCACACTGAATTCCTGTGGAAGATATATGGGTCTACATTTAAGAGTCATATACTCCAGATCCATGGAGCAGTGGCTGTCTACAGTCTTTGTATTGATATACCAGTTTTTCTTCACATAAAGGCTTAAATCTCCCCCTTTGCTCTTGCCAGAATTTCTACTCCTGTCCTGCCGGTGAGCTATGTAGACTTCCAGCTCAATAGCTGCATCTGGAATGAGTGAATGAAGCCAAGTTTCTGTGATTAGCAAAACACAGCAGTTCTTGATGAATTTAGTCTTTGCAATCTGTAGCCTTAATTCATCCATTTTGTTACTCAGCCTAAAGAAAACCCCAGCACGGCATCCTCTCTTCCTTTTCCTGTTCCTCTTTCTTTGCCTCTTCCTCCTTCCTAGTGATAGTGATCCATGGCTCCCCCAGGGTCCTAGCTGCCTCCTTCAGTATGTTATGAGAATGTATAAAATCATCCGTAATAGCCTTTTCACATTTCAGCCCAAATTGTAGCAAGGCTTGCCAACTATAGATGACCCTTGCCTCAGAGGATTCAATCAAGGAAAGAATCCAAAACACACATAGAATCATACACACCATACACTGAAAGAAGGAGCAGCCAGCTGCAGCATCCTTATGTGCAGCCATTTTGAAAACCGTTTAGAACTGTGGTCACTGTCTCTAGTAGCCAAATTCAAGTGGTCTCTTATTCTGTTTTCTCTAAGGCACAACATTTTCCCAGGGAAAGATCTCTTACACTTATTGTTCACGTATTTTTAAACAAACCACAGGAAGCATTCTTATAATTATTTCAAAAATCTTATCCAGAGTCACTCTGGCTTCTTAATCTGTTTAAAACATTCCAAAGTAATCTTTCTAATCACCTTTTGGTGCTTATTTCCCAATAATTTTTTCCCCTTGAACTTACATGAAATTTCCTTCATTGAGGCTTCAAGGAAAATTACCCAATATAATAAAATGCATCCTTCTGAAGGGTTTTAGTATGCAACTTACAAACAACGGCTACTTAAAATGATTAAGAGAGAAAGTTGGTGAATCCACTGTTCTTTTAAAGACTCTGAATTGAGGGTTAAGCAAAACTGATTTTCCTGGCTCCCAGACCAATAAAGCCTACTGTTTTATGGTTTCATTGCAGGAATCATCTCTATGGAGAAATAAGGGTGATCCCAGGCCCTTCTCTTAATCAGGAGATTTTGGGGAGCCAATTAATTCACTGGACTCTCTTTCTGCTACAATCATTTGCTCCCTCTTGCATAGCTGTCCACTGTCTGTCATTGCTTCCCCAGAAGTCAATAAATATTGAGGCTTCCAACTCAGAATTCTAACTCAATTTTTTGAACAAACAATATTTAGAATTACAGTAAAAACAGTAAGGCACTTGGAATTCTAAACCACAACAAACATAACAAACTGCTAATAAGATCAGTGAATGTGAATTGCAGGAATGCAAGCACGGCCATAAAGAATTAACAAGTAGGACTGGGCATTCAACATTTTTAGATTCAACTTAGAGCCAATTTTTAGACCTCTTTGTTTAATCCAAAGGATCCATTGCACAAGGGAGGTAATATTTCATCCTCTCCACCTCCATGCATACAAATTAACCTAATCAGAAAGATTAACTCTATTAACATTACCTGCTCTCACATGACTAACAAATATCTTAACTTTTACTGTAACATATCAAATAAAAAAAGATGTAAATCTAAAAAGATCTCTTCTTGTAACAAGAATATGCTTGTAGTTGTACTATGCCTCAAAACATAGCAGAACTCAAAACATTTCTAGGGAATGCATGCTATGCATTCTGAATATTAATACCAGGCAAATATCACACCTGCTCCCTAATGCCTAGGTACTTTACTTATACTTTATAAAAAGTTAACTGAACAAAACAAAGTTTCCATGAAGAATATAATTTAGTCCAATGTGGCAGAAATCAGGCCTTTAGGCACTAGAGAATCTTTTGACAAAGTCAAAAGAGCATTCAGTTTCTCAGGGCAGTCAGTTAAACAAAATTAAGCTGCCTAAGAAAGACTAAAAAAAAATCAGTATGGAAAAGGTTACATTGCCTATTAGAACCATTACTTAACATTTCACCAAATCATAAAATCTTTTACAACTGATTCTTGCAAGTTGACTTGATTGGACTATTGTTGTCCGTTGCTTCTTTTGATATCCTTTATGAACTCTTGGCTATAGCTTATCACTTTAACTCATTCTCAACTGACATCTAGATTTTGGGGAACTCGCAACTGAGTAATTTTTGCCATCCCTATGAATCATAATAATGTACAAGTAAGATTTAGAAAGACTTTGTAGGATTTGTAGGAAGAAAAGGCAGAATTCTACTTTACAATTGAATAAATAAATTTTAGCCTTTTGACAAACTGTACTGAATTGGATTCAACTTTGTGCAGTTTCAGCTAAAATGGAATTGACGTAATGAAAAAATAATTTTTATCCTGAAACACCTCTGAGCCAGACTGCTGTAGACAGCATCATACTTTATAGAATATTCATCTTTCACATTCACAAATGTATATTATACACAATTTACAGAAAACCAAAAAAGTACAGATATTTTTGTTATATAAGAACATGTGATAAAGAAATGAATATGTATACTCTATCAACCTGCAAAGCACAGAAGATAAATTATACATCTCATTGTTTGAAGTCTAATTATGTTAATCTTCAAGCTGCTAGGTACTCATATATTTGACAGAAACTTCAATGCATTTTAATTTCATGATATACTTTGATGCAACTTTTATATATTAAAAAAAAAACCTAGCATTTCTACACTGGATTGAAAAACAAGCCATTTTGAAAAACAAAGAAGAATATGCTACCTGAATCATTGCGAAGGTAAGAAGACATTGCTGGAATAAGGCATGATTGACTAAGTAGCTCTAGCAAAACTGATGGAAGGGCACTGCTGTTTTGTCCTCTACTTTCATGGCTGGACTGGATATCTCCATTTGATGTGCTGCCTGCAGGATTTATGTAGCTAGCTAGAACCTGAAATTTAAGGGGGGAAAATTAAGAATTTCACTGAGATATACACATAAAGAATATCAACTACAAAGTAGTAGTGCTTACTATATACAATATGTAGGAAAACTATTTAAAAATCTCTTTTTCATAACTGCATAAAAATAATATATTTAAATAAAATTAAGAAGCATTTTTCATCAACTTCAAACACCCATTTAGTGAACAACGTAGGCACTCCCGATATAATAATCACTATAGAAATGATCAGATTTAATTAAATCTCATACTTCTCTGCTTAAAACAGATTCCAGGTGCCACGTTAATGTCAGAAATTTTTCAATAATGGAAGAGATGGTATTCAATATCAATAAAAGGGTAATTCAGTGTAATTCCCAAATGAAAGATTTACTTTTTGGAAAACTGAATGTGTATGAATAGTGTATTGTTTTAATACCTGTAAAAGACATGTGACATGCTCTTCTTCCAGTCTTTGTTTAGTTAGAGCTTGTTCCACATCCCATCCTGAAGCAGTAGAACCAGTTCCAAATCCAGTGCCTTTAGCCCAGTAAAGTTGCTGTTCTTCTGTTGATGCACTATTGTGTGTGCTTGACATCTGCGGCTAGTTAAAAAAAAATTAAACTGCCATTTGGAACTGCATAGATTCATATTCTAGAGCAAAGTAATCAGCAAAATCCTACTGAATAAGCCCTTCTTATTTTGGTATCTGGCTTATGGATAAGAAGGGATAGTTGAAAGCTTACTCAGCAAAGATTCTAACAGGTCTTTACAATCAATGCTTATCCATTGTACGTGAACTGTTGAATAACATTTATCTACTTTGCTGAATGTAAATGTTTTACACACTTTTTATCAGTAAGACAGATCTGATTCTAGTGCTTAACAGTGACAAACACACAGTAAACAAAAGTTAGATTAAAAAAAGATCTGCTTCCCTATCTGCTTAACAAAAATGAGGGTGCAGGTTTCTATAGAAATATCAACCAGGTATAATGGCTTGTGTTTCTGAGAAAATATAATTTTTTCATCTGATGACTCAGAACCTATCTATCTATCTACCTACCCCTCCCATCCATCCATCCATCCATCCATCCATCCATAAATTCAGATAATTCATTGTGTTACATTAAATAATTACTTAAATCATTTGTGGTATTAATTGGAAAAATACAAATTCCCTGGAAGGTTGATCTGAATGACTATTAAGTTCATGAATATTCTTTATCAACAGCTTACAGTTTTGAGAATAAATTGATAATTGCAACTAATTGCCTAAGTAGCAAACATTCTGTTCTACATTACAAAAGACTTAGTATGTACAAAGTTATATTATCTTGTGAATTTGAAGCGATTATATTATTTAAAAGCAAGACTGGACAATTGCCATAATGTTTTTATATTGACATCAATATACTAAAAAGGTCTCCACCTCACAAATAGGGAAAAGTCACATCATGAAAGCCTATGTGAAGCTAGGAAATTTTATCAGTCAGTTTTTAGAGGGGGAAAAAACCTTATATGAACTGGCAGTTTTTTCTGGAACTCAGACAAAATTGACATCTTTCCACCAAGTTCCAGGCCACTGAACTTCCAAAAAATCACACAATGCTTATGCAAGCCTCAATTATAAAAACTGGACATAATAATGCCTTTTTAATAAACAAAGAACTGCTATTAGAAAGACTGAAGGAATTTGGGATAGATACTTCAGGACATGGCAGATAAAAACACTGTATTCACTAACAATGAATTAATTAAGACTTGTTCTCAAAGAACCTGCTGAGAAAGCTTCATGTTGACAGCTTCATTTTGTAAAATAATCTTGAAAAACAGTCCTCTAGCAAGCATACTAGTGTGGAAATTGATTACTGTACCATCCTTTCAATATCATGCTACTCTTCTGGACCATTAAGCAAAACAAGCATTATTTTAAATAACTAGCAATGCTCTGAAATCCATACGGATAGGCTTATATGTTTAAATAGGTAAGAAAATTGAGGTCCTTGTGTTCCAAAAGGAGCTGGATAATTAAACTTGGTAAAAGAGTGTTTTAGCTATACAAAATGAAGACAGAAACATTAACATTCCAATTTCCCTGTTTATGAAAATTTAGAATAATCATTATCTGGAAGCAATTATTTGAGCAGTCAACTATTCAGAGAATACCAGTGCCAAAATCCTCATAGATATCGATAATAGAGGACATAAAGTTGGATTATTAAAAAAAAAAACCTCCAACATCTTTATAATTCTGAGATAATTATTCTGGAGTCAGCCTCACCTCTGTTTGGTTGGAACCAGAATTGGGAACTCTTGGAGCATGGTGGCTAAGAGCAGACAAACAAGCAAGAATAAGGTGAACTGCACCAATTTCCAGGGCCATTCTCCTAAGAAGTACTCCATCATCAGTAGTGAGAGGCGTAGTGCTGAACAAGCTGCGTAGCACGTGAAATGGAAGAGTTGGAAGAACATTAGCTGAAGGAGACTGGAGAATGTGACCTAAAGAAAAGAAATAAATAAAATATTTCAATCACAATGGCTTAGCATAATGCAAATACATACCAAATATTTTATTAGGTGTCCAAAATACTGCTTTTGTTTTTATTATATGTTTAAGCGTCACTGACTGCAGGAAAGTAATGGAAAACAGATGCATTGCCCTTCCATTATGAAGTGTATCTAGAATATAGTGTTAATATGCTTGAAAGTGCCCCAGCAGGAAAGGATAGTGTATTCATTGAACTATTTGCTGTATGGTAAGTAACAAAGCATGGCTCTTAAGTTATTTAACGTTTTTCACATATCAGGCCATCATGAGGATTATATACTTTGCATGTGACTATTGTCTAGAACAGGGGTGTCAAACTCGATTTCCTTGAGGGCCACATCAGGGTGACCTCAGAGTGCCAAGCATTCTGACAGCAAAACAGGCTCCGGATCTGTTTTTGGCTAGGACTGCCTCCTGCAACCCTCTGTCAGAGAAAAGGAAGATTGGGAGGGCCGTGTGGCCTCCCAAGGCCCTCCTGAACTCCGTTTTCGCTGGCAGAGCGTTGCAGTCCCAGCTGAAAACCAAGATCTGGGGCCTGTTTTTGCTGGCAGAGGCACCACAGGCCAGTCCTTCATTGTTTCCAGAACAGCCCTTTGGGCCAGGTCTAAGCACCCCTTCAGGCCACATCTGGCCCATGGGCCTTGAGTTTGACACGCCTGGTCTACAATATAGGCCAAATTTTTAGAATGTTTTTATATGAGAATATTTCTTACAAGAGGATAAAATAGATCTTCTTCAAAACCATTCACGGCATTACATTCAATAAGTGTTGCCTTGTTCCTTTGGGAACATATATTTTATACATGCAATTAATCTATAAGATTTATTTCCTGTATAGGAGTAACTTTATGAAATCAGTGAATATATGTTAAAAGATTTATATCATTATTAACATTTTGGTTACATCAGACCATCAAATCTCTTCTTAACAAGCTCAAGCTGAAAAATGCAAAAGCTTCAAGCAGTACATTTACTTTCCCTTTGCAGAAATGAGAAAACAACAGAAGATGTTAACTAGAGCTTCCCATTAGATTGGAACTATAAAATATGGCTAATAGCTTCCATACAAGCCAGAATCAAAGTGCCAATTAAAAAACAACACCACAGTATTTTGTATGAGAAACTACTGATTGAGAATGTCTTTCCCATCAAAGGGAGGTGTTCGGGTCAGTTGTGGGCTTTCTGGGATCAAACAAAGTCAAGTGCAAAGCAACAGTGCCTGACATCAAAATAGCAGTACAATAATTTTATACTTGGCTACAATTATTTATGGGTTTGAGAGATGAATAGTCTTAATCATAACATGATGCTAGATCTCATTTATCTTCCAGAAGTTCAGGGGAGGGGAAAGTTTACTTCTCCCAAAGAAAGCATCTATCAGCGGTTGGGGATTGATGATCATTTTCACTGGGGTTTATAGTATTAAGAGTGTGTTCCTTGCCATTAAGGCTGCCTTGAGCCCAGGTGCATGGCACATTCCTACTTCTTTCCAATATGGAGCCTTGTTCTAACTATGCAGCCAACAGAAGTGAAACTGAACAGTATTCATCAGAATTCCTAGGCAATAGCAGTAATAAGGAATGTGGTTCACTATTGTGTGGGGTGGTGATGATGGAGGAGTAGGTTATAGTATTAGGAGAATTGAAGTGAAGTACTGTTTGGGAGGAAATCTTGATTTCTTTCTTTTAATAATGTGTGTTGGTGGGGGTGGGGGTAATTAAGTGTGTGACCTGGGGCAGATCAACAGATGTTTTCTTGCTGCTGGATATCGGAGCAATCAGCTGTATAAACCAGCTAAGATGTTCAAAACATGTAATGTTTTGTTTGATAAAAGCACCCTATTACAGAGCAGAAGTATATTTTGTTAATTTTGGACAGTGGATAAAGACACCCATAACCTGATCCTCAGAGGGCAAAAAGAAGGAAAATGTCACTGAAGAACGATTTACTGCTGTGTTTTGTATCTACGACACGGTAGAAAAGGCAACCTGACAATTTTGCCTATCTACAAATAGCTAACCTTTCTTCCTAGATAAAATGATTGAATAGAAAAGGAGCAGAAAATGTGAAAGAAAAGCAAAATGACTTTGAAAAAGAAAATCTCAGAACTAAATGGAGGATACTCCCAACCTGATTGTTGCAGCAATGGAAAAGCAACTGAGGAAAAAATAAGAACTCTGTTCATATAAAATGGGGTAGGTTTCTGACCAAAATATCTTAGCTATATAAGATATTGTTGGTTTCTACATAGATGCAAAACCTATATAGCTGATATACAAAAGATTTTAATAAAAAATTCTCAGATAAAATTAAGATGCTTACTAGGCATGACAAATCAATATTTTTTGCTCTTTAAATGAATAGCTAAAATAATTGTTTATAAAATTCAACTGTTTCTCCTGTATTTTTTACACATGGACCTCTCAAAACTCAAATTTCTAAGTCATAGAAATATTGATCTTTGCAGCACATGAAGTACTGTACCATAAGCACAGTCATACATCAGGTCATTCAAGGAAGAAGATTATTACCTAATAATAATCAAACTGGAGAAATCTTATATTGTTTTGAATTCTATCGAACAATAATTTGTGAAAGAAAGACATTAATAACAAGCAGAATGACAGTAGTCAAGAAGTGGGAAATGGTTTGGCTATAATCAAGTATGCTTCTGCATACCAACAGAGAGAATATCCACACAGTAACTTTCTGATAACTTTGGCTCATGCTGTCTCCCACTGTGTGCATAACATAAGAAAGCTGCAACACAAACCTAGGGAAGGGGAAGCAAAGGCAGATCAAGGTGCCAGTTAAGAGTAATTTGACTTATTAACTATGTGAAAGACTGTCTGAACATGGATAAGTTCAGATAAGAAAAAATAACCCAGATTAAAAAAAACTAGGCCAATGTGTAGATATTTAATGTCTGCAAGGCTATCAACGTCCTTATCACAAAATGATAGGACAAAGCCAATGATGCTGAGGCTGTCAGTTACTGCTATTATTCAAAAATCCACAAGAAGCCCTGGAAACAATAATAATTCATTGTTTTCAAAAAGAAATTAATTGTATTAGCTTAGAACAATTTTTACCCTGTGCAATGAAGGAAGAATGAAGATATATGTCTTTAAGGACAAGTTTTCAATATCACATGCTTTGCTTCCAAAGCCAGAAAAAATCCGAAATTCCATGGAAAAGCCAGTTTTATCAGTTTCAAATACTTGTCTAATTGCACATTCAGAATAATTGTTTAGCGGTAGTCCCCAAATATACTTAGTAGTTACAGTACATACTTCCTTCACCGTCATCTGTAACTCCCAGCACCAATCTAAGCAGACACTGGGCATGTTTCCTTTCTTTAAGTAGCACCTCAGCATAGCCTGGGAGGCGAAGAAATAATCCAAATGCAGCCAAAGAATGAGCAGGTATGGGAGACATAGTTTGAACTGTTGATTTGATTGGTGGCGGTTCTGCTGCAATTGTTTCTGGGGCTTCATAAACCAGTTCTCCTGATTGTTCAATGGTAACCCATTCAAACTGATCACTGTCCTTCTGCTTCTCCTGGGTGGTGGATGTGATCACTGGAGCACTCACCTTCAGAAAGAAAAGAAGATGCTTAATACTATCCCCTGAGATTGATAATTAAAAATATGTTTTAGGTGGAAACTGTATCGTTAAACAATTCCTTGATTTATTTACAACATTCTTGACAACTGAATAACAATAACTGAAAATTGACAGTCAAGATTTACCTAATATGTAAGTATTTTTGAAAATTTCTATGAAATTGTCTGCCACATATTTTAAACAGTAATCCATATATTCAAAAAAACCATTTATATTTACTGTCATATAAGGGGAAGTAAATATATCAGTAGGAAGTTTCTATTATTACTTCCAGTGTTGGGATTTTGAAACAACTCAACATGGTATTTTCTAAATACTTCTTTTTTACCACATGATGGGGACAGACAATGCAATATCCATAAAAACCACCTTTGACACTTACCAGATTCTGCTTTTTGTTTAATGTACTTAATGTGTTTATTTTAGAAGCTTAAGAAAACTTAATGAGAAGCTGGCATGCTGCAATGCTTTTCACATCACTTTTATTTACAACAGGAATGCCTCTTGGCCTCAAGACATACTTAGTTCCATAGATATATTTAGAAAATGGAGAAAAAAATGGAGAGCCAATTTGATGTAGTGGTAAAGGTGTTGCCTTCAAAATCAGGAGACTGAATTCTTGTCCTGCCTTAGGCATAAAAGTACGGCTAGGTAACTTACGGCTAGGTAACTTACGGCTAGGTAACTTTGGGCTAGTCACTCTCTTCAGCCCAACCCATCTCACAAGTTTGCTGTTCTGGAGGAAGGAGCATTATGTAAATTTCCTGCCTTAAGTTATTTATATTAAATAATAATAAAAATGGGATTTAAACATGTAAAAAAAATTAAGAAATGATTGGAACCTTTACCTGTTTAGAAATATAGAAAAAGATAGCTGGGGTGGTAGAGATTATCTTGAAAAATATAAATATAATGTAATGAATCTCATCAGGTAAACTCATATTTTATGACTAGCAACATACACTATGATAATTTTATGAATTACAAAAGCATTTTTATGTCAACTATTCACATAAAATACTCCTATCATCACCTCAGACATCCAAATATGTCCACTGCCTTCATTAAATTGTCTGGTCTGTTTAATGCAAGGGGTAAACAACATTTTTGCCAGAGCTATATTTTATTTATGTATGTTTTAAAATTATCTTTGTGGGCAATATCTGACATAATGATGACACTGCACATTGTTGTATTCTTTAACACTTTTTCCATTTGGGAGGATAATTTTAAAAAAGGACAAAAGAAACATTTATATTTTTTTTCACTGCTAAAAAAAGAAGTGCCTTATACAAGTAGTCTTTGACTTACAACCAATTGTTTAAGAATTGTTTGAAATTACAACAAACTTTAAAAAATGGTATCTATGACCGTTCCTTGACATTATGACTGCTGTCCCCGCCACCCCCTGGTCACATGGTCACATTTTGGGCACTTGGGTTTGCATTTAAAACTAGTTGCGGCATCCCAGTCACATGACTGTGATTTGTGGCTTTTATTGATGTATCAAAAATGCTAATTTGAAAGAATAGATTTGCTTAATAATTATGTGTTTGTTTTATGACTGTAGTGACTCGCTTTATGACTATTGTAAAAACAGTTGTAAAATTGAGTTTGGACATGTGGTGCCTCAGCTTATGACTACAATTTTGGGCTCCATTATGATCATATGTTGAGGACTACCTGTGTTCCTTTTTCAAATGGAAAACTGGTCTTATTTCTGTTAAACCTGCACCTTCAGTAGCAAAGTATCACTAGTGGAAAGCAATTCCTTTTGTAAGTTGAAATGTACAAATGTTATCAACTTTATTCAAAATAAAAAATATACAAGGCGTCAAGATATTGTTTTACTGAGTATATGGGGATGAATTGTTTTAGACAATGTTTTTCAACCAAATACAAATTTGACTCACGATTCTGAGGATACAAGTTTACTTAAGTGCATGACATTTGAATTTTTAAACTTTCTTCAAAACTCTGTTATGAAATTTCATCTAGGGAAGTTGATTGGAATCTTCTCATTATTGTTTTTGAGTAAAACCAGTTACTTTTGAAAAACAAACCCAATGTATGTATGATAAGTTATGTTCCAGGGTGAAGTTTCATTTTTCTGATTTTTAAATATATAAGTGAGAAAACAGGAGAATAAATATATCACAGTGGTGGAAGAAGTTATTTGGAAATCCAGATAAAATTTAGTAAGAGGATGCAAGAGTCTGTGCCCTTCCCTACAAAAAATAGACATTAAGAGAAATGGAAAGTTTTCAATATTGAATTTCTTATTTTACACTAGTTAAGACATTACAAAAGTTAAGAGACATTTTCCAATATACCAGGGATAAATATGAGTTTGAAATCATGGAGCGTATCAATTGCAAAATTTCTCATTTATACAATATGAACATATAAAACTAAGACAAATTGCTTTAGAACATTCTCAGATTCTGTACCGGCAAGCCCTGAATAATTCCAGTACTTTTAATCATTATATTAATCCATCTCCATACAAGTAACATCCACTAGATTTTTTTAAGCAGGGTACATACAAGTTTACAGTTATATGTAATAATTCTTAACTGGAATATAGATTGCATTAAATGTTTATTAAATGCCAAGATAGAAACAACAATGCACACATTTGAGTACCTTAGCCACCATTAAGCCCATCTGTTCCATTCTTCTCATAAATTTTAAACTTTTAATTAGGTCAATTATACACATATTTTTTGACTTACTTGTTGAATCACATCTGGATAAAGCATAGGAAGTCTTTCTGCAATGAGGGCCAACCCACCCATTCCAGCAAAAACTTGCAATGGGGACTGGAGAGGGCATGCATCAAGAAAAGATTCATCCAGCACTGTATCCATGCATTCTTCAACTGGAGTGACTGCTTCATCTTCAGGGCAAGGTCCCAATAAATCTGCATGTTCTATTTGTGCATAACATAATACATAAAAATAACAAACTTATAAAAATAGTATTAAATAACATTTATTTGAAGAGATTATAGACTTACACAGCCTAGCACACTACTGTTTAGTATACATGATCTACATTAAGTAGGAGAAATATATTTGGACAAACAGAACACTTGCATACCTCTGCAGAATTAGGCAAAATTAGAAAGTAGTTTGTCAAAAACAGTGAAAAAGCAATGATAAGATTCTGAAATTCTATATTTCTGAGGCAAGAGAAAAATACTGAAAGTAATAGATTATTCTAATTCTGTATACAGAAGTATCATTATCACCATCATTATTATCGATCATTGCGCAGTCAGCTAGATGTTCAGATTGGGTTTGGCATTTTTGAGTCCTTACCAAGGACATGGGATAGGCAAATTTGGATGTCTGATGGTGTTACAGATATCGTCTCAGGATAGCCTTCTGCAATTGACTGATGGCAAATTTGTCAATGCCTATGGTGGTTCAAGTGGTGCTCCAATTGTTTTGGGATTGCACCCAAGGCACCTATTACTATTGGTACTATTCTTGCTTGCCTTTGCCATAGTCACTGTATATTTGCAACAGGTAAACTATTATTATTATTATTATTATTATTATTATTATTATTATTATTATTA